GGGCGAGGGCGGGGCCTGGGGGCAACCTGGGCGAGGGCGGGGCCTGGAGGCTACCTGGGAGAGGGCGGGGCCTGGGGGCAACCTGGGCGAGGGCGGGGCCTGGGGGCTACCTGGGCGAGGGCGGGGCCTGGAGGCAACCTGGGCGAGGGGGGGGCCTGGAGGCTACCTGGGAGAGGGCGGGGCCTGGGGGCAACCTGGGCGAGGGGGGGCCTGGAGGCTACCTGGGAGAGGGCGGGGCCTGGAGGCAACCTGGGCGAGGGCGGGGCCGAGATGGGATCGCCGATGGGAACGCGGAGGCTGCCCATCAGGCTGCACTTGAGGTTTCCGAATGGGGGCGGGACCTGGTCGGTCACATGGGCCAAGGGGCGGTTCCTGGTTAGGGACCCTAGGGTTGGGAACTACCGCCTCCTGGATAGGGATAGGGCCTGTCAGGTACAAGAAGAGCAGGCCTCTCCATTAAGAACAGTGGTGTGACCTGGCGAGGTGGCTAACGCCTGTAATCACAGGAGGCCAAAGCAGGCAGATCACCTGAGGCCAGGAGATTGAGCCCAGCCTGGTCAACATGGTGAAACCCTGTCTCTACTAAAAACACAAAAATTAGCCAGCTGTGATGGTGGATGCCTGTAATCCCAGCTACTCAGGAGGCTGAGGCAGGAGAATCGCTTGAACCCGGGAGCCGGAGGTTGCAGTGAGCCGAGATCGTGCCACTGCATTGCAGCCTGGGTGATAGACCAAGACTCCACTAGGGTGTGTGTGAGTGTGGGGAGTGTGTGTGAACGAGTATTTGGAGCAAAGCTGCATCCAGGACAGTGTGTGTGCCTCACATCTGTGTGATGGACGTGTGTGACTGGCAAAGCGAGAGTGCTCGCTGATGCTGATTTTTGATATAGCGAGAAAGACAGTCTCTCCTAGTCTGCCCCCTCCCCAGGCCTCTTTGAAGGCCTGACTGGGAAGGTGCGGCGAGCCAGGGAGAGAGGCCGGGTGGGAGCACCCGTCAACAGCCGAAGCACCCATCAACGGCTGCACCATCCTTGCCCCAGGTTACGCTGTGGCTGTGCTGCACAAGGCCTGCAGCCTGTCCTACGTCGCGGGGGCTCCGCGGTACAAACATCGCGGGGCCGTGTTTGAGCTCCAGGAGGGCAGAGAGGCCGGCTTCCTGCCGGTGCTGGAGGGAGAGCAGGTACCTGCAGGGGAAGGCCTCCACGCCCTGTGACAGATGGGGAATGGGAGGCCGCAAGGGAAAGAGGAGGGCCGCAGGGTGCACCGTGGGCCAGGGCCCAGGCCGGGTCAAACTCAGGCTCCAGAGTGGTGCTCCAAGGCTCCGGCCCGGGCCGCGTGTCTGATTGCTGGGCGTGTCCTCCATCCTGGGGCCTGGAGTGTTCATCCGCTCTACAGGTACCTCAGGGAGCAAACTGATATGTAATGACCCAGACTGGGTGGCCCAGACTGGTACCAGGGCTGCAGCCTTGCTGCAGGGTGGAGGAGTGGGGCTCCTGCTGAGCTGACCTCCTTCCCGGTGCAGATGGGGTCCTATTTTGGCTCTGAGCTGTGTCCTGTGGATATCAACATGGATGGAACCACAGACCTCTTGCTGGTGGCTGCGCCGTTTTATCACGTTCGTGGAGAAGAAGGCAGAGTCTATGTGTACCGTCTCAATGAGCAGGTGGGAGAGACGCCATCTTCACAGCTAAGGCTGTGGCATTCAGCCCAGTACAGAGGTGATGGAGGCTGGGAGTGCACTGGCCCTGCTTGGCACCAGTGGGCAGTGATGGGGAGGTGCTCAGGATGGATGGGTGGGGCAGTGGCACCGCTCTCAGCTCCCTCTTTCTTACCCAAGGGCAGTCGTTGATGACAATCTCTCTCTTTTTTTTTTTTTTTTTTGTCAAGACAGAGTCTCACTCTGTCACCCAGGTGGGAGTGTAATGGTACAATTTTGGCTCACTGCAACCTCCACTCCCTAGGTTCAAGCAATTCTCCTGCCTCAGCCTCCCTAGTAGCTGGGATTATAGGAATGTGCCACCATGCCTGGCTAATTTTTGTATTTTTAGCAGAGATGGGGGTTCACTGTGTTAGCCAGGCTGGTCTCGAACTCCTGACCTCAGGTGATCCGCCCGCCTCGGCCTCCCAAAGTGCTGGGATTACAGGTGTGAGTCACCGCGCCCGGCTGATAATATCTCTTACAGCCGCGGGCTGCCAAAGTGCATTTTGTCCAGATCTCACTCGTTTCTCACAGTAACTTTGGGAGGCAGCTGCCACTCTCACCTTACAGGTGAGGAAGCTGGGGCTCAGGGAGCCTCAGTGATGCTGAGACGTGCTCAAGAGTACCTGGCACGTATGTGGCGGAGCCAAGACTAAAGCCCAGGCCTCCATTTGCAGCAAGGCACCCCTGCCTGTGGGAGTAGGGGGAGCAGGCTCTGGGTCCTGAACTTCAAGGCAGGAGGACCCCAGCTTTCACCACGGGCTCACTGTGTGACCTTGGGAAGGTCCCTGGCCTTTTCTGGGCCTCAGGCTCCCTGCTGGAGAATCAGAATCCACCAGCCCAGTGAGCGTGCCTCCTGGGTCGCAATGGGGTGGGCATCCAGTGCCCTCCTTCTCAAGGGCTGAGCTGTTTCCTTGCTTTATAGGATGGTTCCTTCTCCCTGTCACGCATGCTGAGTGGGCACCCTGGGTTCCCCAGTGCCCGCTTTGGCTTTGCCATGGCGGCTGTGGGGGATATCAGTCAGGATAAGCTCACAGATGTGGCCATCGGGGCCCCTCTGGAGGGTTTTGCAGCAGATGATGGCGTCAGCTTCGGCAGTGTGTATATCTACAATGGACACAGGGACGGCCTCTCCGCCAGCCCCTCACAGGTGACCCACCGGGCCCTCTCCTTCCTCTCCTCTGGGGCTCTGACCTCTCCCCGATAGGATGACCCAAGCCCCAAGGTGGCTTCAGTCCCAAGTGCCGGGCAGGCCTCCGGGGGCTGGGAGTGCCCAGTGAAAGAAGGAAGCTACTTAGGCTGGCGGGAGGGTCCAGCCCACGGCCTCACCTCAGCCCCTCAAGTGCGGGAGGTTGTGGCCGCAGCTGCCTCCCTCCCCGACCTACACCCTCCCCTCCCTCCAGCCTGGCTGGGGTCACTGCTTCTCTTTCTGTCCCTTGCTCCTGTCTCCCACACAGCACCTCCCTGCCTCGTCTCTCGTGCCCTAGGACTCCACTGCCAGCCTCTCACTCCACGTCTCTTTCACCTACCTCCAGCCTCTCCTGAGTGCCTCCACCTGGATGGCCCCCAGGCATCTCCCTCCCATCTGAAAGCACCTGCTTTCCCCAGACCTGCTGCTGCTGAGACTGCATCCCCCTCCACACCCCACACCAGAAACCTCGGACAATCCCCAGCACGGCCCCGCCCTGCACAGCCTGCCAGTCCCCACGTCCTCACGATTCCAGCTGTCTCCCAAGTCCAGCCCCTTCTCTCCATCCCCACCACCGTGGTCCCAGCTCAGGCCTTGCCATCCCTCTCCTGGCCCCCCAGCCGGCCTAGCTTCCCCCTCCTCTGCATCTTGTCCCCTGTGTCTTCAGTGCCATTTTATTTAGTTTTGTTTTTTGAGACGGAGTCTCACTCTGTCACCAAGCTGGAGTGCAGTGGTGCGATCTCGGCTCACTGCAAACTCCACCTCCGAGGTTCAAGTGATTCTCCTGCCTCAGCCTCCCAAGTAGCTGGGACTACAGGCACGAGCCACCACACCCAGCTAATTTTTGTATTTTTAGTAGAGATGGGGTTTCACCACGTTGGCCAGGCTGGTCTCGATCTCTTCACTCAGGATCCACCAGCCTCGGCCTCCCAAAGTGCTGGGATTACAGGAGTGAGCCACCAAGCCCAGGCTTCAGTGCCATTTCTAAAGTGTTATCCTGATTACGTCACTTCAAAAAAACAGAGCCTTTCTTGACACCCCCACCCCAAGCCACACATCAAGCCTCCTGGTACCCCAGCCCCCTGCAGCCCACCCCGTCCCTGGCTGTTTCTTAGAGGGCCCCACTCTTTCCCCATGCCTCACTCTTTCCCTCACTCTCAAGTCCCACCTGCCCTTCAAGGCTCCATTCAAATGCCACTTCCTCTGGGAAAGCTTGAACCCCCCTTCCTGGCTCTAGACTGGGGGCTCCCAGGGGCTGGATGGGCCTGCAACGCTGACCCGGACAGAACGTGAAAGGACTCCCTGCCCCGTGCTCCTCCCTCCCCTCGCCCCGCGCCTTGTGTTTCTGCCTCCACAGCGGATCAGAGCCTCAGCAGTGGCCCCAGGACTCCAGTACTTCGGCATGTCCGTGGCTGGTGGCTTTGACATCAGTGGCGATGGCCTTGCTGACATCACCGTGGGCACTCTGGGCCGGGCAGTTGTGTTCCGGTGGGTCTGGGGTCCTGGGCCTAGCCTCACCCATCTGCCCCGCTGTAAATAGCTCCATGCAGAGAGTAGGCACCGAGGGAGGGAGCCGGCACGGTGGCGAGTCACCTCGCCCAGCTGACAACAGAGCACAGGCTCCGGGCTCTGCCCGTCTGGGTGTGAACCTCAGCTCTACGTCCTCTCCGCGTGCCCTGGGCAGGTTATTTCATTCTAAGGCCTTACGTGGGAATTATAAGAGCACCTACCTCCCAGAGTTATGAGGATTATGCAAGTGGATGTATGTAAAGTATTTAGTACAGCACTCAGCGATGGCTCTGACTATTAAGAATTTCAGGTCACTGGCCGGGTGCGGTGGCTCAAGCCTGTAATCCCAGCACTTTGGGAGGCCAAGGCGGGTGGATCACGAGGTCAAGAGATCGAGACCATCCTGGTCAACATGGTGAAACCCCGTCTCTACTAAAAAAAAAATACAAAAAATTAGCTGGGCATGGTGGCGCGTGCCTGTAATCCCAGCGACTCAGGAGGCTGGGGCAGGAGAATTGCCTGAACCCAGGAGGCGGAGGTTGCGGTGAGCCGAGATCGCGCCATTGCACTCCAGCCTGGGTAACAAGAGCGAAACTCCGTCTCAAAAAAAAAAAAAAAAAAAAAAAAAAGAATTTCAGGTCAGGCGTGGTGGCTCAGCACTTTGGGAGGCCAAGGTGGGTGGGTCATGAAGTCAGGAGTTCAAGACCAGCCTGGCCAAGATGGTGAAACTCCGTGCCTACTAAAAATGCAGAAAACAGCCAGGCATCGTGGTGGGCGCCTGTAATTCCAGCTACTCAGTAGGCTCAGGCAGAGAATTGCTTGAACCTGGGAGGTGGAGGTTGCCATGAGCCAAGATCTCCCCACCGCTCTCCAGCCTGGGCGACAGAGCGAGGCTCCATCTCAAAAAGTAATTAATTAATTAATTAACAAAAAAGAAGGCCAGAGTTTCTGCTCCCCATCACGGGGTGAATCATCAAGTCCCGTGGCTGTAAGTGAGCTCATGGAGTGCCTGTCTGTCCCCTCCTCTCCACTAAGCTCCAGACTTGCTGCTGTCTACTCAGCACCTCCCTGGCTGCTGTTCACGGACATCTCCGAGGGAACACACCTAAAAACGGAGCTATTGGCCAGGCGCGGTGGCTCATGCCTGTCATCCCAGCACTTTGGGAGGCCAAGGTGGGCAGATCACGAGGTCAGGAGTTTGGGACCAGCCTGGCCAACACGGAGAAACCCTGTCTCTACTAAAAATACAAAAATTAGCCAGGCGTGGTTGCGGGTGCCTGTAATCCCAGCTACTCAGGAGGCTGAGGCAGGAGAATCGCTTGAACAGGGAGGCAGAGGTTGCTGTGACCTGAGGTCGCACCATTGCACTCCAGCCTGGGTGACAGAGCGAGACTCTGTCTCAAAACAAAACAAAAGAAACCAAGCTCTTATCTCCACCCACCCTTCATTCCCCCAAATCTGTCCCGCCCTTGGGCTTTCTGTCTTGCCAAATGACACCATCGTCCACCCAGAAACACAGGATTAAAACCTGGTCCTTGATGCCTCTTTTTCCTTCCCCTGCCACATCAACAAGTCTTAGTTGGCTCTGCCTGCAGCTACCCACCAGCACAGGTGCTGTCCTCACCCCCGGACACTGACATGCAGCCTTCCCTGCCTCCACCCTCCATACAGCAGCGCCTGAAACCCCTCCACGCTCCTACTTAGAGTAAAATCCCAGTTCCTTACTGTGGCTTTGCAGGGTTCTTCGTGGCCTGGCCCTCCCCGGCCTTCCATTCCCACCTCCTCCTCCTCTCCTCTGTGTCACTAATTAGGCTCCAGGCGCGCAGACCCTTGCGCTCCCCAAACCGCAAGCGTCCCTGCCACCGGCCCTTGGTGCTGGCTGTGCTTTTCACCTGGAGTGCTCTGCCCCGTGTCCTCACATAGCTGGCTCTTGCTTGTTAAGAAATCTCAACCGAAATGCCTCTCATCAGTCAGGCCGTCTCTGACCACCCAGGCTCAGTAGCCCCCAGTCCTTATTACAGAACTTTGGTTGTTGAGATGGAGTCTCACTCTTGTCATGTCACCCAGGCTGGAGTGCAGTGGCACCATCTCGGCTCACTGCAACCTCCACCTCCTGGGTTCAAGCAATTCTCCTGCTTCAGCCTCCACAGTAGCTGGGATTACAGGTGCCTGCCACAACGCCTGGCTAATTTTTGTATTTTTAGTAGAGATGGGGTGTCACCATGTTGGCCAGGATGGCCTCGAACTCCTGACCTCAGGTGATCCGCCCACCTCGGCCTCCCAAAGTGCTGGGATTATCGGCGCCAGCCACTGCGCCCGGACAAGGGTATTTTATTTCATATCAGCGCATTGCCAATACATAGTATTTCCTTGTTTATTTGCTTGTTGTGCTTTCCCACGAAAGCAGAAACTCAGGGCAGCACCTGCGTGTGGGGAGGTTTGATGGACTCACTGACTGCATGAACCAATCAGCCAGGCCTGCCCCACGAGCCTGTAGTCACTCCTCCCGCCCTCTTTGCTGTCTCCGTCAGCTCCCGGCCTGTGGTTCGCCTGAATGTATCCATGGCCTTCACCCCCAGTGCACTGCCGGTTGGCTTCAAAAGCGACGTGAATGTCAGTTTGTGTTTTGCAATCAGCTCTGAGTCAGGTAAGAGGTGGCCCAGCTGTCCCCTGCATCCTGTCGTGATGGTCATTCCTTTTTGGCTTCTGTAGGGGGCAGGGAAAGAGGACAGGGCGGGGATGGGCTGGGGTGGGGGTGTTTGTCTGAGGTCCTGGTGCTTGAAATCCCTCCATTAGAACGTACCTCCTTTGTCCCCAGGCTCTGTGAAATGCAAACTGCCTCAAAAAGGGTGTTCTGATGTGACATCCACACTCTGAGGGGCTTAGTGCTGACACTCTTGGGAGGAGGGATGCTGGAACCCTTCCTCAGGGTTGAAGGGTTGAGTTTCTGAAAAAAAGACTCAGAAAAAGGCAGCCATGTCTCCGTGCCCGCGTGTGTGCCTGTGCTCGGGAGCCCCGAGGACGCGCCCTTTGCCTTCTCTCTGGCTGTGTCCTCTCCTCGTCCCTTCTGTCCCTACGCACTCTGTGCCTCTGGCCCAGGTGGGATTGGATAATCTGTCGAGGCTGGGTTTCTCTTTCCTTACCTGAAACTCATCAGGAGACTGTTTCCAGAAAGGAGGTGGTGGGCACGGCTTTCACAGCCCAGGAATTCACTGCCCACCCCAGTGCTCCCCTCGGGAACTATTCCTCAGCCACAGTCCGGGAGATTTACTCGCTCCGGAGCAGTCTCTGAGATGGCTCTCTGTCTCCCGCAGGTCACAGAGAAGGCTCCTGTGGTGGAGTGGCTTTATCAAAGCGGGAGGCTATTATCCACCTGGGGGGTGGAAACGACAGACCTGTCCCTTCCCAGACACAGAGCTCGATGGGCTCTGCGGCGCTGGGCAAGGTCTCTCCCCAGCCGAGCTGGTTCTGTTCTGTACCGTGAGGGATTTGGCCCCGGGATCTCCACGGTGCTTCCAGCCCCGCGGTCCTTGGGTTTGACTCCATGGTTTCCCTCTGTCCCCCTCCATTCTTTTTGTTGATTCTCCTCCTCCTTATTTTCTTCTTCAGTCTCAACCCCGTTCCTGAGCCCTCCTTCCCTAAGGAAGGCTGACTCGGTCCTGGGAATGTGATGCTCTAGGTTTGGGGCTGGAGCACTGAGAGACCCTGGCCAGGTGTCAGAAGACAGTGAGCAAAATACCTTTGAAAAAAGAATGTGGCCAGGCAAGGTGGCTCACACTTATAATCCCAGCACTTTGGGAGGCCGAGGTGGGCAGATCACGAGGTCAGGAGTTCGAGACCAGCCTGTCCAATATAGTGAAACCCCATTTCTACTAAAATATACAAAAATTAGCCGGGCATGGTGGCACACACCGGTAGTCCCACCCACGTGGGAGGCTGAGGCGGGAGAATTGCTTGAACTCTAGAGGCGGAGGTTGCAGTGAGTCGAGATCATGCCACTCCACTCCAGCCTGGGCAGCAGCATGAGACTCCATCTCAAAAAAAAAAAAAAGAAAAGAAACGCAGGGGTCCAGCCCCAGGAAGTCCTGCATGGGGACACTGTTCAGGAGGGTCACAGGAACCTCAGGCTGGGGGCCTTCTGTCTGTGGTCGGCTCATCCCTGCCTCATCGGGAAGGCCTGCTCTTCATTCCCAGGCCTCAGAGGGGCATCTCTCAACTTCACACTGGACGTGGACGTGGGGAAGCAGAGGAAAAGGCTGCAATGTTCAGACGAGAGTGCCTGTCGGGGCCACCTGAGGGAGTGGAGCAGCGGGTCCCAGCTTTGTGAGCTCCTCCAGCTCAACCGCACAGAGGGAGAGGTAAGCGGAGGAGTTTGGATGGGATTCAGGACGGGTCTGAGCCATTGAGAAAGGATTTGAGGTGATGCAGCGAGGGGCACATACCCAGACCTACAAATGAGGTGATTAAAATAATCACAGCAGGCTGGGCACGGTGGCTCATGCCTGTAATCCCAGCACTTTAGGAGGCCGAGGCAGGCAGATCACTTGAGGTCAGGAGTTCAAGACCAGTCCTGCCAACATGATGAAACCTTGTCTCCACTAAAAACACAAAGATTAGCTGGGCATGGTGCTGGGCACCTATAATTCCAGCTGCTCGGGAGGCTGAGGCAGGAGAATCACTTGAACCCAGAGGTCAGAGGTTGCAGTGAGCTGAGATCCTGCCACTGCACTCCAGCCTGGGAGACAGAGACTCCGTCTCAAAATAATAACAATAACAGACTGGGCGTGGTGGCTCATGCCTGTAATTCTAGTACTTTGGGAGGTCGAAGCAGGCGGTTCACCTGAGGTCTCGAGTTTGAGACCAGCCTGACCAACATGGAGAAACCTCGTCTCTACTAAAAACACAAAAATTAGCTGGACATGGCGGTGCTGCCTATAATCCCAGCTACTCCAAAGGCTGAGGCAGGAGAATTGCTTGAACTCTGGAGGTGGAGGTTGCAGTGAGCCGAGATTGAGCCACTGCACGGTAGCCTGGGCGACAGAGCGAGACTCCATCTCAAAAAAAAAAAAAAAAAAAAGAAACAGCTTGATAAACACAGGTGTGACTGTGACTCCTCCCCTCTGTCTAAGCCAGTTCTTTACCCCTTTGTGACTGGGGTGAGAACCATAAGAGCTACGAGACACATCATCTTGAATTGTAATACAATTTTTTTAAAAAAAGAGCTGTGAGACACAAAGCCACAGTAGATGGAAGGAGATTTCCCAAAGCCGTAGGCAGCTTGCTTGAAGGACACGTCCCTTCAGCCTGGCTTATTTGGAAGATGCTTAGGACTTCTGACTCAACACTTTTGTTTGTTTCTTCTTACGATGACTTGAAAGTAGAAAGTGTTGGCCGGGCGCGGTGGCTCAAGCCTGTAATCCCAGCACTTTGGGAGGCCGAGGCGGGTGGATCACGAGGTCAAGAGATCGAGACCATCCTGGTCAACATGGTGAAACCCCGTCTCTACTAAAAGTACAAAAAATCAGCTGGGCATGGTGGTACATGCCTGTAATCCCAGCTACTCAGGAGGCTGAGGCAGGAGAATTGCCTGAACCCAGGAGGCGGAGGTTGCGGTGAGCCGAGATCGCGCCGTTGCACTCCAGCCTGGGTAACAAGAGCGAAACTCCGTCTCAAAAAAAAAAAAAAAAAAGAAAGTGTTCTTGCCAGGCACGGTGGCTCACGTTTGGAATCCCAGCACTTTGGGAGGCTGAGGTGGGCAGGTCACCTGAGATCAGGAGTTCGAGACCAGCCTGGGCAACATGGTGAAACCCCGTCTCTACTAAAAATACAAACATTAGCCAGGCGTGGTGGTGGGCGTCTGTAATCCCAGCTACTCGGGAGGCTGAGGCAGGAGAATCGATTGAACTCAGGAGGCGGAGGTTGCAGTGAGCTGAGATCGTACCACTGCACTCCAGCCTGGGCGACAGAGCAAGTCTCTGTCTCAAAAAAAAAAAAATGGATTCTTCTTGTCATCTTCTTCTAACCCTGCCTTCCATGGTGACCCCACAGCTCCATGAGGAGGACTCCTTCTCCAATGCCAGCATCAAGGTCAGCTACCAACTTGAGACCCCTGAGGGACAGAGGGACCGTCCCCAGCCCATCCTCGACCACTACGCTGAAGCCTATGCCATCTTCCAGGTGACTCTACCCTCAGCCAGTACCAGCCCTCTTGAGAGCCATCCCACAGAAAGCACCTGCTCCCCTGACTTCCGAGAACGTTAGAACTGGGAGGGAATGTCTTCAGACAGCATTTGGGCGCCTCACTGCACAAATGTGAAACTGAGCCCCTGCGATGGTGTTAATGTGTGTGGGGCATCACTCATGGGTAGCACAGGTCTCCGTCTGTCTCTGGGGCTGTGGCTTTATGTTCACAAAAGCGCTTGCTGTGTATTTCATGACCCACAGGTATACATTACATCCTGGGACCTCACTTGGCAGGGAGCTCTGATGATGCGGTGGTGGGGGTCCCTTGTGAGCGCTAGACGGGAGCTATCCTGTCTCGTGCTGCAGAGAGGATGCCCTTTGGCGCCCTGCCTGTTCATGCCCTGCCAGGGCCTTCAGGCTGAATGGCCCCACCAAACCTGTGCCCCTGCCTCTCCTCCTGGTGCCTATTAGTGCAGCTCAGACAGGCGGGCAGTGTCATAAAAAACTTTTGTTGGCCTGGAGCCCTGGCTGATGCCTGTAATCCCAGCACTTTGGGAGGCTGAGGTGGGCGGATCACCTGAGGCCAGGAGTTCAAGACCAGCCTGGCAAACATGGCAAAACCCCAACTCTGCTAAAAATACAAAGATTAACCAGGCGTGGTGGCGGGAGCCTGTAGTCCCAGCTACTCGGGAGGCTGAGGCAGGAGAATTGCTTGAACCTGGGAGGCGGAGGTTACAGTGAACCAAGATTGCACCACTGCACTCCAGCCTGGGCAACAGAGCAAGAAACCATCTCTCAAAAACAAACAGACAAAATTTAAGATATAGTTCCTTAATAACAAAGGCATCAAAGGGCGTAGATTCACATTGATAAAATACTATTACCTAATCTACAAACTTTATTCAAATTTTGCCTATTGTCCTATTAGTGCCCTTTATAGCAAAAGAAAAAGATGTTCCTTTCCAGGATCATTCATCCTGTTCTGTTGTCATTTATCTTTAATCTGGAAGAGTTTTTCATCTTTCCTTGTCTTTTGATGACATTCATGTTTTTTTTTTTTTGAGACGGAGTTTCACTCATGTTACCCAGGCTGGAGTGCAATGGCGCGATCTCGGCTCACCGCAACCTCCGCCTCCTGGGTTCAGGCAATTCTCCTGCCTCAGCCTCCTGAGTAGCTGGGATTACAGGCACGCGCCACCATGCCCAGCTAATTTTTTGTATTTTTGGTAGAGACGGGGTTTCACCATGTTGACCAGGATGGTCTCGATCTCTTGACCTCGTGATCCACCCGCCTCGGCCTCCCAAAGTGCTGGGATTACAGGCTTGAGCCACCGCGCCCGGCCTGACATTCATGTTTTTGAAGGGTGTAGGCCAGTCCTTTTATAGAATGTTCCTCAGTTTGTCTGATGTTTCTTCATAGAGTCAGGTTACCTATTTTGTTTTGTTTTGTTTTTGAGACAGAGTTTCACTTTTGCTGCCCAGGCTGGAGTGCAATGGTGCGATGTCAGCTCATTACAACCCCCAGCTCCTGGGTTCAAGCGATTCTCTTGCCTCGGCCTCCAGAGTAGCTGGGATGACAGGTGTGTGTCACCATGCCTGGCTAATTTTTTGTATTTTTAGTAGAGACAGGGTTTCACCATGTTGGCCAGGCTGGTCTTGAACTCCTGACCTCAGGCGATCCACCTGCCTTGGCTGGGGTGACAGGCATAAGCCACCATGCCTGGCCAGGTTATGCATTTTTGGTAGGAATATCACGGAAGTAAAGTTGTGTCCTTCTCAGTACGCCATCTCAGGAGGCACCTCATGTGGATTTGTCCCATTCCTAGTGTGATTTGCCTGTGTAATTAATAAGCACAACTCATTTTGTGGTGAGATGCCTTGAGATGATATTCTGCTTAACATCTATTTATGTGTCTTTCCTTAACCAGTGATGACTATTATGCTATGGCAAAGAGATTTTTAAAAATTGATTCCATCTGTGAAATGGGTGAGGAGAACTTACGTGGTGTTAGGCACATCGCTGTTACCAGAGAATGTGTCCCAGTTGGGCATCTAGCTGGCTTAACCCCATTCTCTTTCACTGGGGCTGGGTGGAAAAGATCAGGCTGCTTGGCTATATTAAAAAGACAACAAAAAACCCTGCAGGAAACTGTTGACCCACTTAGATAGAGCTCCAGGCTTTGACTTCTGCAAACGCCGCCTCCCTTCCCCAGGAAGGAGAAAGTCTCCTTTCAAGCTCCCGGGCTCTTATTGCCACCCTAGGCCATGGTAACAGACCTGCAGAAAGGTCTGGTGACGGCCGCCGGGAGAGAAATGCAGAGGCCCTCCAGCCGAGGAGCTGCCTTTCTTCATAGTCAAAAAACAGACCCAGCTACTTTAGAAAACTGGAATTTTTTAAAACATGAAAAGGGGCTTTTCAACCTCCATGGGGCCTTTTTAAATGTGGCTTTCGGAATGAGTTGGTTATGTGGAGGCAGGATTGTGAGGGAAATAGCTTACAGAGACAGCTAGCCAAGTTGGGCGCAGTGGCTCACGCCTGTAACCCCAGCACTTTGGGAGGCTGAGGTGGGTGGATCACCTGAGGTCAGGAGTTTCAGACCAACTTGGCCAACATGGTGAAACCCCATCTCTACTAAAAAGAGCAAAAAAATTAGCTGGGCGTGGTGGAGGGTGCCTGTAATTTCAGCTACTCAGGAGACTGAGTCAGGAGAATCGCTTGAACCCAGGAGGTGGAGGTTGTGGTGAGCCGAGATCATGCCACTGCACTCCAGCCTGGCAACAGAACAAGACTCCATCTCAAACAAACAAACAAACAAACACACACACATACACAAACCCCAGAGATGACTAGCCACAAGGAAGAGAAACTCTGAGGCTTGGACCTTGACAATATTCTGTTAGGTAGTCCCCATTCCTGCCTACACCCGTAAAGACTAAGGAAGCTTCTCTTCACATAGCTGTCTGCTCCTTAAATGCTGGAAGTCATGAGCTGTGTGTGCTGCTTAATTCCCATGATGTGAATATAATGGGCACACCTCACATTCCATGCAGGTCACCCCAGTTTTTACCTTGGCCAGAGGCCAAGTGTACCCATGGGTTTTTTGTTGTTTTTTTTTGTCTTGTTGTTTTAAAGACGGGGTTTCACTGTGTTGGTCAGGCTGGTCTTGAACTCCCGTCCTCAGGTGATCCGCCCACCTTGGCATCCAAAGTGCTTGGATTACAGGCGTGAGCCACCGTGCCCGGCCAGTGTGCCCATGTTATAGGACAGATCCAGGAATGTCACCGTCCCTGTTCTTTGGGCCGTGTACGTGCAATCCCAGCCTGCATCCCTCACCTCCCTGTCACTGCCCGTCTCAGGGTGAACAGGAGGCTCAGCCGGAAGTACCCTAAGGAGAATACCCAGAGGCAGGGCTGCTGGGGAAGGTGGGGCCTGGCTGATCGGGACTCTCTCTGTGGTTACAGCTGCCCTATGAGAAGGACTGCAAGAATAAGCTGTTTTGTATCGCAGAATTACAGTTGGCCACCACCGTCTCTCAGTGAGTTGGAAGCAGCCCTCGGTTTCCTGCAGTTAACGTCCCCCAAATGCTTGCCTGGGCGAACCCCCCATCAGGACGCACCGTGCACTCCCTTCCCCGCTTCCCATGGCCCACAAACGGCTTCTGCGCTTATCTCATTATGTCCTCAGTTACCCCACGAGGGAGGCAAGATGGAGATCCGTCTTCCCACTTTTTAGATCAGGAAGGAGACTCAGTCGCTGAGGGCCCTGCATGGGCCATCCGGTGGCCTTGAACCTGGGTCTCTTGGCATCCGGGACAATGCAACCCAGTGTTCTTCACGGCTAGGATGACCTCTACCTCAGTTAGAGGTGACCTGTTTCCTGGCTCACCTCTTCCACCAAAGTCATTCATCAGTCGGGCAGACATTTCTGGACCGTCTGCTCTATGCCAGGCACTGTTGGTGCTGGGGATGCTTCTGTGAACAACACAAAGGTCCCTGCCCTCCTGGTGCTCTTAGGGGGAGAAGATGGTAAGAAAGTAAATTCTGTGTTGGGGAGATGAACTTTGAAGAAGCAGGGAAGGTGGAGGGAGTTCTGGGTCGGGGGAGAGGCTGACGTTGTCAATGGGGTGGTCAGGGAGGGGGACACACACAGGAGGAGGTTGGGGAACGAGCTATGTGGGTGGGTGTCTGGGGTAAGAGCAGCTGCAGGTGCCCTGGGGTGGGTGCCTGCCTGGCAGGTGGAGGCAGCGCAAGGACCCAGGGGCTGCAGTGGAGTGAGGCGGGGGAGTAATGAGGGAGGGGAGGAAAGGGGAGGGAGAAAGGCTTTTGCCATGAGCTGTGAAGTCAGAGGAGTGACGTGATCGTGCAGCTCAGCAGGACCCTTCTTGCTGATGAGTTGAGGAGAGACTAGGAGCAAAGGTGGAAGGAGGGGCCGCACTTGCTCCCATTGAAACCACTCAGGTGAGAGGCGATGGGGGCTGGGATCCAGGTCCCAGCAATGACGGGGTTTACGTTTTGAAGCGAGAGCCCACAGCATGTGCTGACAGAGTGAGGCAGAGTGAGGAAGGAGCCCCCAGCCCGAGCCTGTGGCGCCGCGCCGTCCAACACACCAGCCACACTTGGCTGTTGACACTTACATGAGTTAAAATTAAACACAAGGAAACACTAAGCTCCTCGGAACATGGGAGCCACACTTCAGATACTCAGCGCCCGCTGGTGGCTGGTGGTGTCGGGCAGCACGGATACCACCTGTTTCATCGCTGCAGACGTTCTATTGGACCACACTGAATTCCAGAATGATGGTGTTGCCAAGCACAGGAGTTTGGGTTCGGACATATGGTGGCCCTAAAATGCCCTCCCAGCCTGGACACAGCGGCTCACGCCTGTAATCCCAGCACTTTAGGAGGCTGAGGGAGGCGGATCACGAGATCAGGAGTTCGAGACCAGCCTGATCAACATGGTGAAACCCCATCTCTCTCAAAAAAACAAAAATTAGCCAGGCACGGTGGTACGTGCCTCCAATGCCAGCTACTGGGGAGGCTGAGGCAGGAGAATTGTTCAAACTTGCGAGGCAGAGGGTGCAGTGAGCCGAGATCACACCACTACACTCCAGCCTGGGAAACGGCAGACTCTGTATTAAGGAAAAACAAAACAAAAAGCCCTCCCTGGTGAGTAGGTGCTGTGTCTGCATCGTGATTCTGATGACCCCCTGGCCGGAGCTGCCATATGTGGGGAAGATGGCAGTTCCCGAGTCCTGGTGAGCCCTTTCATAGACATTTGCAGGACCGACTGAAGACTTTCAAGGGCCCTGGAATCCATCCTAACAAGCAGGCGCAGCTGCTTCCAGCCAGGAATTAATTATAGCCAAGAACCAACCTCCCGGCCAGCTACTGGGCAGTGGGTGGCGATTCAGCACACGCAGCTTGCCCTACATCGCCCCCTAGGGTACATGGCGAGCAAACGCTTCTCTTTCGAAAACATCCCAGCAGCCTGGTCATTGGCTTCCAGGGGTCATTGTCTCGGGGTTTTGGCCTTTCTGAGGACATGGATCTCCTAGAGAACCTAATGAAGACTACGGCCCCTCTCCTTAGAAGACCACATGTGCATACATAAATGTTTGCATTCTGGGTCCTCTGAAACGGCCCCTAGGCCTCAGATCTGGCAACGCTGTTAAGTATTCCAGTGACACTCAGGTCTCGCACCTGGGCTCTGCGACAGTGCGTCCAGCTGACATGTCGGCAGCTCTGCCTTGTCCTCCAGGCACCTCTTGTCATGTCCCAGACTGAATGCATCTTCCTCCGTCCTCGGGTCTTCCTCCTGTGTTACCTCCCTCAATCAATAACAGCACCGCTCAGCCATCTGAGCCAGAAACTCAGAACTTGGCCAGGTGCAGTGGCTCATGCCTGTAATCCCAGCACTTTGGGAGGCTGAGGCAGGCGGATCACCTGTGGTTGGGAGTTCAAGAGCAGCCTGACCAACATGGTGAAACTCCATCTCTACTAAAAATGCAAAACATTAGCCAGGCTTGGTGGCACATGCCTGTAATCCCAGTTACTGGAGAGGCTGAGGCAGGAGAATTGCTTGAACCCGGGAGGCAGAGGTTGCAGTGAGCTGAGATCGCACCATTGCACTCCGGCCTGGGGACTAAGAGTGAAACTCTGTCTCAAAAAAAAAAAAAAAGAAAAAAGAGGCCGGGCATGGTGGCTCACGCCTGTAATCCCAGCACTTTGGGAGGCCAAGGCGGGCGGATCACGAGGTCAAGAGACCGAGACCATCCTGGCCAACATGGTGAAACCCCATCTCTACTAAAAATACAAAAAATTAGTTGGGCATGGTGGCGTGTGCCTGTAATCCCAGCTACTCGGGAGGCTGAGGCAGGAGAACTGCTTGAACCCGGGAGATGGAGGTTGCAGTGAGCCAAGGTCGTGCCACTGCACTCCAGCCTGGCGCCTGGTGACAGAGTAAGACTCTGTCTCAAAAAAAAAAAAAGAAAAAAGAAACTCAGAACTCATCCCTGACCCCTCTGTCACCCTCCCCTGCCTCTTTTTCATTTTGTTTGTCTTAATGTCTGTGACTTCTTTCCATCTCCACTTCTGCTGTTTTTTTTTTTTTGAGACAGGGCCTCACTCTATTACCCAGGCAGGAGTTCATTGGCATGATCTTGGCTCACTGCAACCTCTGCCTCCTGAGTTCAAGCGATTCTCCTGCCTCAACCTCAAGAGTAGCTGGGATTACAGGTGCCCACCACCACGCTCGGCTAATTTTTTTATTTTTAGTCGAGACAGGGTGTCGCCATGTTGGCCAAACTCCTGGCCTCAAGTGATCCACCTGCCTCGGCTTCCCAAAGTGCTGGGATCACAGGCGCATGCCACCACACCCAGCTAAATTTTGTATTTTTAGTAGAGACAGGGTTTTACCATGTTGGCCAGGCTGGTCTCGAACCCTGGCCTCCAGTGATCCACCTGCCTCGCCTTCCAAAGTGCCGGGATTACAGGTGTGAGCCACCACGCCCGGCCTTCCCCTGCTGTTGTCTTATTTCAGGCGTGTATCATCCTCTGGTGGAGACAGCAGGCTCAACTGTCTCTGCTTCCCGTCTCTCCCTCCAGTTAATCCATCCTCTTCTTGGCTGGGATAAAAATCCAACCAAAAGCAAGCAATGAAAACAAAACGCACGTCACATTGCTTCCTAGATTTGCACGTTTCATCTTTGGACATTTCAGGTGGAAAACCGTTTTCTGGGTGTTGCTAATATGTTTTTCTGTAGATCTCAACTACTGAGAGCGCTTCTGCATTCTGGGGCCCCGTGACACCTCAGTGTCCCGGAGGAGGGCTTCACATACCCCAGCTCCCTCTTTTCCAGGCCGTGTGGACTGTGTCTTAAACCACTGCCTTTTAATTGGAAGGGTCTGAATGATTTTGTGGGTAGGAAGCTGAGGCCGAGAAAGAAGGTGGGACAGTATGTCTTGTGCACACACTGGTCTCCGGAGCAAAGCAGTGCCCCATGAGTATTTGTGGCATGGATGAATTTGTGTCATAGAGTACCTCATCTAGGGTCACAGTGACTTAGTGGAAGAAAGAGGATTGGGGGGGCCAGGTGCCATGGCTCATGCCTGTAATCCCAGCACTTTGGGAGGCCGAGGTGGGTGGATCATGAGGTCAGGAGGTCAAGACCAGCCTGGCCAAGATGGTGAAACCCCTTCTCCACTAAAAATACAAAAATTAGCTGGGTGTGGTGGCAGGCGCCTGTAATGCCAGCTACTTGGGAGGCTGAGGCAGAGAACTGCTTGAACCCAGGAGGTGGAGATTGCAGTGAGCCAAGATCACACCACTGCAGGACAGCCTGGGCGACAGAGCAAGACTCCGTATCAAGGAAAAACAAAACAAAATAAACAAAGAAGTCCTTGCTGGCGACTAGTGCTGTGTCTGCATCGTGATTCTGATGGCCTGCTGGCCGGAGTTGCTGTATATGGGGAAGAACGCGGCTCCCCGAGTCCTGATTGGGTACAATTTTCTCAACTCTTTGGAGGCTGCTAGACTTGAGGCATTTAATTAGCCTGTCTCGGCTTCTGTTTCCTCTTCTATAAAATGGAGAGTAGCCATACTATGTCATGGGGTTACTGTGAGGGTTGAGCATGTGAAGTGCGGTCCTTGGCATGTGGTAAGCACGAAATACATGGTAGCTGCCATCGCCATCTCGTGTGGCAACTGAGATGGGCGTGGCAGTCCAGCTGTGGGTTATGCCGAGAGGAAGCATGTCTAGGCTACCTGTACTCCTTAGGCAGCTTACCTAAGAAGCTAGTTAAGAAGGTGCTATTCTGCGCTGTCCGTGCTGGCTTATACCTGTAATCCCAGCACTGTGGGAGGCCAAGGCAGGTGGATCACTTGAGCCCAGGAGTTCGAGATCCACCTGGGACACATGGCGAGACCCTGTCTCTACAAAAAATACAACCAGTAGCTAGGCATGGTGGCACACACCTGTAGTTGCAGCTACTCAGGAGGCTGAGGTGGGAGGATCACTTGAGCCCAGGAAGTGGAGGCTGCAGTGAGTCATGATCGTTGTGCCACTGCACCCATACTCCAGCCTAGGCGACAGACTGACTCTGTCAAAAAAAAAAAAAAGGTGCTATTCTATTGCATCAACGTTTTTACAGATTAAATAAACTGTAACATTTTTATCTGTCATGTTGCAGGCAGAAATTGGTGGTGGGTCTCACAAAGGAGGTGACCCTGAACATTACCCTAACTAACTCTGGGGAAGATTCCTACATGACAAGCATGGCCTTGAATTATCCCAGGAACCTGCAGTTTAAGAGGATGCAAAAGGTGAGTGTGTGGAAACAGGTCCCTCACGCCCCTCCCTGGCTGCATGCCTGCTTTTCCGTGGAAGCCCCTCACTGGCGACCCTGCCGCCAGCCTCCTCCTGGTCCATCCAACCAATGGTTAATCACTAGATAAACTCCCGCCAGTCTGGCTATGTGCTTGGCGCCATTCTCTGCCTTCAAAACCTTCTGTGGCACCATTTGCTGCACTGTCCCCCTCCCTATGTGCAGCCTTTCTTCACCAGGGTTCTGAGCGATACGTGGGCTGAAATGCCCCAAGGCATTGAGAAAGTAAAAATGAGCTTAGACTGTGTTGGAAATAGATGCTCCGTGCCGCAAAGAAATTTAGCACTAAAATAAAGGATCTTACAGCAATGCTGAGACTGCAGGTGTGCATCACCACGCCCAGCTAATTTTTATATTTTTAGTAGAGATGAGGTTTCACTATGTTGGCCAGGCTGGCCTTGAACCCAGGAGGTGGAGGCTGCCTCAGCCTCCTGAGTAGCTGAGATTGCAGGAGTCCACCACCACACCTGGTTAATTTTTTGTATTTGTACTAGAGACGGGGTTTCGCCATGTTAGCCAGGCTGGTCTCGAACTCCTGACCTCAGGTGATCCACCCACCTCGGCCTCCCAAAGTGTTGGGATCACAGGCGTGAGCCACCCCACTTGGCCCAAAACATAACTTTATTTACATTTCATCTGAACTCCACCCTTCCCTAGAGTCCTTTAATAACTGTCTTTCCCTTTGCTGAGACACACAACAGTGTAGTTTTCAGCTGGGTGCAGCGGCTCACACCTGAAATCCCAGCACTTTGGGAGGCTGAGGTGGGCAGATCACCTGAGGTCAGGCATTCCAGACCAGCCTGGCCAACATGATGAAACTTTGTCTCTATTAAAAATACAAAAATTAGCCAGGTGTGGTGGCGGGAACCTGTAATCCCAGCTACTAGGGAGGCTGAGGCAGGAGAATTGCTTGAACCCAGGAGGTAGATGCTCCAGTGAGCCGAAATCGTGCCACTGCACTCCAGCCTGGGCCACAGAGCAAGACTGTCTCACACACACACAAAAAGTGTAGTTTTCTTCATAGCAGTGAGTCAACAAACCTGACATTGTTGGACTGTAGGTTTGTCCACCGTCATCTTAGGCTATTTGGGCTTGGACAGTATCCATTATAATCTCCTAGGCCGGGCACTGTGGCATATGCCTGTAATCCAAGCACTTTGGGAGGAGTTTGAGACCAGTCTGGCCAATGTGGCGAAACCCCGTCTCTACTACAAATACAAAAATTAGCCAGGTGTGGTGGCCGGTGCCTATAATCCCAGCTACTCGGGAAACTGAGGCAGGGGAATCTCTTGAACCTGGCGGGGCGAAAGTTGTAGTGAGGTGAGATTATGCCACTTCACTCCAGCCTGGGTGAAACAGCGAAACTCCATCTAAAGAAAAGGAAAGAGGAGAGCAGAGGAAAAAGGGAAAGGGGAAGGAGGAAAGGAATCTTCTAGGCATCAAGAAGGGAACTAGGCTGGATCATCCTTGGGAGAATGGAGAAGTCACTGCAGTCATCACCTGCCCTCAGGGGTCCGGATGGGCAGTTCTTGCTGTGTGCCTGCCTCCTAGCCAGGCTGTGGGTTATGTCTGCATCAGTCCGAGGCTCAGCTCCAAGGTCTCCTTTCCCAGGAAGACCTTACAAATTCCTCCTAGCTGGAACTGGTCTTCCTCCGCTGCTGTTTCCTGCACCTCCCTCATAGAAGCACCCGAGGCTTTATTTAAATTCCTCCAGGATCTACTGCTGAGCCAGCCTGCCCAGCTCGTGAGGAAGACATGGAACAAGCAGACTTGATATCCTCAGCTCCTGGCAGGGTATCTGGCGGGCAGAAATATGAGTGAATGTTTGCTGAATTGATGTGTGGCAACTGCTTTTTTTTTTTTTTGGGGGGGGTGGGGGTTCTTTAAGTGAATGTCATCTGCTCTGTCAACAGCCTCCCTCTCCAGACGTTCAGTGTGATCACCCTCAGCCGGTTGCTTCTGTCCTGGTCATGAGCTGCAAGATTGGTCATCCCGTCCTCAAGAGGTCGTCTGTGAGTCGGTTTGGATCCATTTGCTCTTCTTGCTGCCCTGGGCATCTTCTGCGTCTCAGGCTCATCTGAATCTCCTGGTTGCAGCTTTAGGCTTCCCTTGACTGTGGAGTCAGGCCTCAGCAGTGCCTACCGTGGCTAAGCTGGCTCTGAGAGCAGGGAGTGGTGGGGACCAGAGTTTCCAGTAGACAGCCCTGGATGAGCTGCTGTCGCATCTCAGTGAGGTCGAGTGAAGTTGTGGCTGGTACGGAGGGCGCATCAGACCAAAAGTTTTTTGTTTGTTTTTGAGACAGAGTCTTGCTCTGTCACCCAGGCTGGAGTGTGGTGGCGCAATCTTGGCTCACTGCAACCTCCGCCTCCCAGGTTCTAGTGATTCTCCTGCCTCAGCCTCCCGAGTAGCTGAGATTACAGGTGTGTGCCATTACACCCGGCTAATTTTTCAAATATTTTTAGTAGAGATGGGGATTTCACCGTGTTGCCCAGGCTGGTCTCGAACTCCCAACCGCAGGCGATCCACCTGCCTTGGCCTCCCAAAGTGATGGTATTACAGACATGCACTACTACACCTGACTAATTTTTAGAATATTTTTGGTAGAAATGGGGTTTCACCATGTTGGCCAGGCTGGTCCCGAACTCCTGACCTCAAGTGATCCGCCAGGCTCCACCTCCCAAAGAACTGGGATTATAGGCGTTAAGCACTGCGCCCAGCCAAGACCAAAAGTTATTAACCCTGAGCTGCCACTGGTCATCTCTGTGCTGTGGGAATCTCTGAAGTGGCTTCTTCAGCTGTAAAATGGGATGAGCTGCCTGCCCTCCATATTTGTATTTTACTTGAGGCTTAAATGAAATACTAGCCGTGGAGACATGCGGTGCTGCAAACCGTGAGGAACGTGAGAATGGGAGGAATCATTTCCCAGGTCTGCTCCATTGGGAGCGAGCAGTCTGAATTGTGAGTGGTTTACAGGAGAATCAAGTGACCATTTTTTCCCCTTTAAAATAGGCTCATGTTTCGGTAGTTTGGCAGCTAGAGGAGAATGCCTTTCCAAACAGGACAGCAGACATCACTGTGACCGTCACCAAGTGAGTACTGCCTGGGTCACACAGAGTCAGGCTATGGCCCCAGAAGACCTCTCCCTACACATGCAAGTAAGGGGGCTCTGGCCCCCTTACTGCCCAGGAAGCAGGGAGCCCACAGAAGGCATCTGCTTCCCTGAGGGACTCTGCTTTCTCTTACCAGAGATCATGAAAATGTTCTACTATTCACACACACACTAAAACTGTGAGCTAGTCTGGTGGACTGAGCCTTGGAGTTCTGGTTCTGATTCACTTAGCTTTGGAATACTTGAATAGCTCTGTTACCTGAAACCTCTGTGTTTGGGGGTAAGGTGGGGAACGCTGTTGGGAAGTTCTCAGGTGGAGGCGGTTCTGCCCACCTGAGGCCGCGCCAGTTTGATTGCCGTGACTTGGGGAGGGGGATGTTCAGTAGCACATCTGGTGGGGAGAGGCCAGGAATACTGCTAAACGCTGCAGACTAGTACAGAGCAGCCTCCACAACCAAGATCTAACTGGCCCAAAATGTCACTAGTGCAGAGGTTGAGAAGCCCTTCTAAAAGCAGCATTTCTCTAAGTGTGGTCTTCTAGAGACAATCCTGTACTCCAGTTGCTTACCTCTGACAGCCTTTTCTTATCTGACCCCAGTGACCCTGGGGGGCCAGGTGCAGAAGCACCTGCTATGCAGTGAGAACACAGGCACAGGGAGGGGAACACCACACTGGGGCCTGTGGGAGGGGCGGGGGGAGGACAGCATCAGGAAGAATACCTAATGCGTGCTGGGCTTAATACCTAGGTGATGGGTTGACAGGTGCAGCAAACCACCATGGCACATGTTCACCTATGTAACAAACCTGCACATCCTGCACATGTACCCCAGCACTTAAAAAAAAAAAAAAAAAAAAGGCCAGATGCAGCGGCTCACACCTGTAATCCCAGCACTTTGGGAGGCCAAGGCAGGCAGATCACTTGAGGTCAGGAGTTTGAGACCAGCCTGGCCAACATGGTAAAACCCTGTCTCTACTAAAAATAGAAAAATTAACTGGACATGATGGCACACATCTGTAATTCCAGCTACTCAGGAGGCTAAGGCACGAGAATTGCTTGAACGCTGGGGGTGGAGGTTGCAGTGACCCAAGGTTGCACCACCGCACTCCAGCCTGGGTGACAGAGTAAGACCCTTTTTTTTTTGTTTTGAGGTGGGGTTTCACTCGTCACCCAGGCTGGAGTGCAGTGGTGAGAACTCGGCTCACTGCAACCTCTGCCTCCCAGGTTCAAGTGGTTCTCCTGCCTCAGCCTCCCGAGTAGCTGGGATTACAGGTGCCTGCCATACCCAGCTAATTTTTTTTTTTTTTTTGAGATGGAGTTTCGCTGTTGTTGCCCAGGCTGGAGTGCAATGGCACGATCTCGGCTCACCGCAACCTCCGCCTCCTGGGTTCAAGCAATTCTCCTGCCTCAGCCTCCTGAGTAGCTGGGACTACAGGCACGCACCATCATGCCCAGCTAATTTTTGTATTTTTAGTAGAGACGAGGTTTCACCTTGTTGACCAGGATGGTCTCGATCTCTTGACCTCGTGATCCACCCGCCTCGGCGGCCTCCCAAAGTGCTAAGATTATAGGCGTGAGCCACCGCGCCCGGCACCCAGCTAATTTTTTGTAGTTTTAGTAGAGATGGGTTTTCTCCATGCTGGCCAGGCTGGTCTCGAACTCCTGACCTCAGGTGATCCACCTGTCTCAGCCTCCCAAAGTGCTGGGATTACAGGCATGAGCCATCTTGCCCAATCGCAAGACGCTTTTTAAGAAGTGCGTGTTGGCTGGGCGCGGTGGTTCACGCCTATAATCCCAGCACTCTGGGAGGCCGAGGCGGGTGGATCATGAGGTTGAGAGAGATCGAGACCATCCTGGTCAACATGGTGAAACCCTGTCTCTACTAAAAATACAAAAATTAGCTGGCCATGGTGGCACGCACCTGTAATCCCAGCTACTTGGGAGGCTGAGGCAGGAGAATTGCTTGAATCCAGGAGGCGGAGGTTGCGGTGAGCCAAGATCGCGCCACTGCACTCCAGCCTGGGTAACGAGTGAAATTCTGTCTCAAAAAAAAACAAAAAAAACAAAAAAAAAACCGCTTGTTCTGTACCAAGCAGGTGTGCTGAGAACTAACACTCTTATTCCTAGTTCCAATGAAAGGCGGTCTTTGGCCAGACAAACCCACACCCTTCAATTCAGGCATGGCTTTGTTGCAGCTCTTTCCAAGTAAGTACTCCCAAGGGGCCAGCACCAGTGACTGCATGGCCCAGCAGACAGCTTGGGGCTTTCTCTCTTGTAGATGGAGCTGGTGGTTGGGATGGATGTGGGCATCATCCTTCTGAGAGGAGCCTGCTTAGGACCCTGGCTCTGATATTGCTCTCTAGAGAACTAACAGCTGGTTAGTTCCCTTTGATGACCATTGTAGTCCTCAAAGGAGGTGTGGTGCCAACTAGTCTTGCTACGAAAGGGAATGAATATGATGCTGTGGAGGGAAGAAGGCAGTGTGGGACGGGGAAGTAAGCGGGGGATGAGTAACGCCATTTGAGGGATGACTAGCAAACGAACCAGCCCAACTATACAGAGTTCAAATATTCCACCTCATCCCAGCTGTGCTGCAGCCACTTGACGTTTTGACATTCAGCTTTTATTCGTGTTTTTTTTTTTTTTTTTTTTTTTTTAAAATTGAGACAAAGTCTCACTCTGTCGCCCAGGCTGGAGTGCAGTGGTGACTTTGGCTCACTGCAATCTCTGCCACCTGGGTTCAAGCGATTCTCCTGCCTCAGCCTCCCGAGTAGCTGGGACTACAGGTAGACGTCACGCGTGGCTAACTTTTTATTTTTTAATTTTAATTATTTATTTATTTTTGAGACGGAGTCTCACTCTGTTGCCCAGGCCAGAGTGCAGTGGCATGATCTTGGCTCACTGCAACCTCTGCTGCCCAGGCTCAAGCAATTCTCCTGCCTGTCTCCCAAATAACTAGGACTGCAGGTGAACACCACCACACCTGTCTAATTTTTTTTTTTTTTTTTTTTTTTAGTAGAGACGGGGTTTCATTATGTTGGCCAGGCTGGTCTCAGACTCCTGACTTCAGGTGATCTGCCTGCCTTGGCCTTTCAAGGTGCTGGGATCACAGGTGTGACACACTGTACCCGGCCTCATTCCTCGTAAGGGTCTGGTGCCTTCTGTCCTAGTGTATCCAGTTGAAAGCATTCAAGCTGGCCAGGCATGGTGGCTCACGCCTGTAATCCTGGCACTTTGGGAGGCCGAGGTGGGTGGATCACCTGAGGTCGGGAGTTCAAGACCAGCCTGGCCATCATGGTGAAACCCCATCTTAAAAAAAAAAAAAAGCATTCAAGTTCATTCAAAAAGAGAAAGGGGGATGGGCGTGGTGGCTCATGCCTGTAATCCCAGCACTTTGGGATGCTGAGGTGGAGGATGGCTGGAGCCCTGGAGGTTGAGGCTACACTGAACCATGATTGTGCCACTGCGCTCTAGCCTGGGCGAGAGTGAGACCCTGTCTCCAAAAATGGGAGGGAGGGTCCTCAAGGCCTGACACATGTCCTCTCAATTGCAGACCATCAGTAATGTATGTGAACACAGGCCCGGGGCTTTCTGACCACAAAGAATTCCTCTTCCATGTAAGTAGTTATTATTGCAAAGCTATAGGTGGCCAAGCAACACCAGCTTTGACTTCCTACTCTGATTTTAATTTGCAGATACATGGGGAAAACCTCTTTGGAGCAGAATACCAGTTGCAAATTTGTGTCCCAACCAAATTTCGAGGTCTCCAGATTGTAACAGTGAAGAACCTGACAAAGACTCAGGTATTTAAAGGCAGTTCTTTATCACAATCACATCTACTCTCAGAGTGACTGTAAAGTATACAAACCGGAGTTTTATGAAAAGGGTAAAGACAGCTTCACCCTGGGAAAAGATGAGGAGTGAATTACCAAAGTCCTGTTCAGGAGTATCCATCACTCAGCTCTTAAAGCAACCTGTCAGTTGTCTTCCTTTTGATGAAAAATAAGCAAAAGTTAAAACCTTGTCAGTAGGCAGAGACATTTTCCCTTTGAAAACTGATAAATTCCGCTTCTCTGCGGGACTGATATGACATGCAACACTTCTTATGCTGCCTGCTTTAAGTTGCTTACCATCCTATCTTCCCTTCTTCTCCCCGAGTCTCTTTTTTGGCCTCTGCTTTGCCTCAGCCTCTTTGTTTTCAGTTGTTTCATCTGTAGCCTGGTTTCCAAAGTGAGCCTTGCTACCTGAAGCAGCAGATTCTGCTCACTATGACAGCTGAAGCCTGGGTTTTTTTTTTTTTTTTTGCTCAGACTACATAAAGTGTCAAGGCTCAAAAAATGGAATTTACAGAATGGACTCTGCTGACAATTAGAAAGAGGGCTACTTATAAACATTTGTTTTCATATGTATTTTATTTATTTTTTAAAACAGAGACAGGGGTCTCGCTCTGTTGACCAGGCTAGATTTGAACTCCTGGGCTCAAGTGATCCTCCTGCTTCAGCCTCCCAAGTAGCTGGGACTACAGGCACATGCCACTGCACCTAGCTAGTTTACTTTTTCAAGGCCATGTGTCATCAGCAAATTTAAACAATTCTACAAATAGGTCAGTTTCTATTTGGAAACAAAATTCTTGTTTGAAAAGGTGACTGGAATCTTGCGAGAATGGGATTCCACCCTGCTCTGGGGATGCAGGCTGAAACAGCACCAGAGGCTTCAAGACCAGCCTCCTCCCACTGGGGGGCAGTAAGACACACTGAGTTTACTGAAATAAACTGTGCTGGCAGAGCAAGTCAGTGGCAGAGCGGAAGTTCAGCATTGTGCTATGGAAATCCTGGATCTTTTTCTTGACTTCCTTCATGGCAGGAGTGTTAGGTTTACTCTTGAAGGTCGTTTGTTTCAGAAGCTTGTCTGTAAGGTAATGCAGCCAGAGCACATTACTGTAAGGGTGATATTCACCCCAGCAGTTGTTGTTGTCCTTCTTCATGAGCCTGTAGATCTCAAACTGGTAGTCACCTTCACCTGTAAACAGGTCCTCATCCATGGAAACGTCACAGAAAACCACAATCCCATCCCGTTCCAAGCGCGACAGGGTGTAGTCGATGATGCTGACTTGCAGCCCGCGGGTGGGGATGGTGCTTGTCTTGCCATTGAGGGTGTACGAGAGTTCTTTGAGGCTGGTTTTCTTCAAAAGCACATTCCCCCAATGTAAGTCTCGATGCTCAAAGTGCAGTGATGCCTCTGCCACCGCGAGGGAGGCTGTGAGCTGGTGTAGGATGCTCTTCGCAGTAGCCAAGGATGACAACTTCCTTCTCATTTGCTCTAAGTCAATCCCTCCAAACTCAAATTCCAGCACAATGAAGAGCTGGTCTTCTTTAAAAAAATCAGGCCGGTCATTTGCAGACCCTTTGGTTGAATGATAGTCATCCCAGGCTTTGAGGAGCAAAGGAGGGTAAGATCCCTGCACACAGTGCACTGAGTTCAGCCCAATAAAGCCTTCCGTGCGGTTGCACGCGTCACCAGACAAAAGGCTCAACTCTTTGGAGATGATGATCTCTGGCAGGATTTCCTCAAAGGTTTTCTGCTGGGATCCATTGACTAAATCTGGTCCTTCAATAGCAATGATTTTTACGGCGACAGGCGTGTGATCGGCAGTTGTCTGAAACACTTCGCCAAACACCCCTTCCCCAATCTTCTCACAGTGTTCCAGTTTTTCTGTGGGAAGGCAATGGCTAAAGGGGATGGGACCCTTCTGACTGCATTCCCCATAAACCTTCTCAGCATCAGATGCCTTTTTGTTTGAAGGAGTGTTTAAGGGGCTTAGCAAATACATAGAAGAGGAGCGCCAGGAGGACAGAGCACTCCTGGTTCTGCTGGTGGCAGGACGGTGTGAATATTCGGATAGGAGGGATCCAGAGACAGGAGTGGTAGTGGTGTAGCTGCTGCGGACCTCCGACACATCAGTCACAATTTTCTTCTTGTGGAAACTGAAGGAGGCCCTGGTTTTGGTCCAAGAGCAGGCATTCTGTAAATCAGTCAGGTCCTGGGTAGGGAACGAATCATTTCTCATCTTTTGGCCCTTTTTTAAATGGTGGGAATGGAGCAGAGAGGTTTCCACTGCCTTCTGACGTTTGCTCTTCCGCCTTGGTAGAGTTTTGTCAGGCCTGTTGGGTCCTCCGGGCACAATGCAGCCGTTGCAAACCCTGGCCTCTTGATGTTCTATCCGCACGGCCTCCTGAAGCCCTCTCTCTGGACAAGAATCCTGGCCTGTGGCCCTCCTCCTGCCTGTGCTTGGCACACCGGAACCCTCTGGTCTATTTCCCAACGGTTTCCTTTTACAGCAGGACCCCCTCATATTCTTCCCATCTGCCCCAAACTCAGAATCCTCAGGGGTTCCTGAGTTCATAAGGCCAAAGAGAGCTGACCTGAGGCTGGCACGGGTTTGGCGGACAATCCTGGCTCCTCCTGTCGCTTCCTCCTGGGAGCAGGGGAGAGATGCTCGGTCCAGGGAGACTTCCGGGAGGTGGAGGCCGCTCGGGACAGCAGACGCTGCAACCAGAGAGGTGGAGGTGCCGATGGAGATGACACTGTCCCTTGGCGTTGGGGACCCGGGGCGGGGCGAAGCGAGAGAGCTGAACAGGGAGGCGCTGGTGCCCAGCTCGTCGCCGTCCCTGGGCTGTTCGCACACGCTGAGGTCCGGGCTGAGGCGGCCGGGGAGGCGGCTGGGGAAGGGCGGAAGCCGGAGCGGGCCGCAGGGGGTGCTGCACTTCTGCGGGGGCCGAGCTCGCAGCCCCAGGAGTCTCGGGGTCACGGTTAGGCTCGGCCGAGCTCGCAGCTTCCGGCGCTTTGGGGTCACGGCCAGGCTGGGCGGGTCCTTGGGGACTCGGCCGCCGGGACGCCTCCGCCGCCGCGCCACCGGGCTGCCCAGGAAGTCGGGGTCGTCGGGATCGTCGGACTGCGAGGGGCAGCCGAAGCTGGCGTCGTTGCTGCCGCTGCTGTCGAAGAAACGCCTCCGCTCCTGCGGCGGGAACCACTGCGTGGCTGCCCGGCCCCGCCGCCGCTGTCTCCTGCCGCCCGCAGCCCCATAAGTGCGGAAAAGCCGGTTCCCAGTACCGGGGAGCGAAGCCGCCATGGCCGGCGCCCGCCAAGACGTTCAAACGCAAACACCGCGAGACTTCCGCTTGACGTGGACGCGCCCACCGGCCGTGGCCGGCGGGGGGAGGTCCTAGCTCCCGGCCCTGCGCATGCGCACCTCGCCGGGGACCCCGGGCAGAAAAGTATGGCGGCTCCGTTTGTTCAGCGGGTCTTGGCCATGGTTCTCGTTTCAGGCCTCCACGGTGTGCACCCCGAGTCAGGAGCGCGCTTGTGGGTACAGTCCGGTTCAGGTAAGCGCGGCCGTCCCGAGAGGTCAGGGGAGAGCGGAGGGCCTGAAGCGGGTGACACGAGAGGCCGGGAGACTTTTTCCAGCGTTTCTCCTGCCAGCCAGTGCCGGCGGCTTCCAGTCTCTCCCTAGCTTCTCCTGGGCCTCATCTGCCCCCGCTGGAGCTTTGCTTGGGCCGAGGGGAGCGCTGAAATTGCTGACACCCTGTATTCTGGGACCTTACGCTGCTCTGTGTCCTAAGTGTTGAACATTCAGTCTTTTCACAAAAAGGAATGATGTTAACTAGACCTTGCTTTTCCAGCACGTGGAAGAATGGCAGTCAGTGAGCTGTGCCATCGCTTCGGATAAAGAAAATGTAACCGTGGCTGCAGAGATCTCCTTGGACCACTCTAAGGAGGTATTTGAGACTGAAATGCTCCAGATTTGATTATCCAGCTGCTCACGGGCATCACCCCTAGAAGAGATAATAGCGTCTTTTCATAATGTGTCCAAAATAGGTCTTTTGGGGCAAAAAAACACAACCCTCTGTCCCAACCTGTTCCTTAGCTACCCTAGGGGGGGTGATTTACTCCAGTTACAGTAGAGGAACTCTAGGGATTACCTGTGACTCCCCTTTCCTACCTCCCCACGTCTATTCCAGCAGCAAGCCCTGCCATTCCAGTGCCAAAATAGATCCTAAATCCATTCACTTTTCTCCGTTTCCGCTGCGGTGGTAATTCACGCTACCGGCTCCTGCCTAGGGCTTTTGCAATAACCTTGAGACTGCTTTTTTTTTTTTTTTTTTTTTTTTTTTTTTGAGACAGAGTCTCGCTCTGTTGCCAAGCGCCAGGCTGGAGTGCAGTGGCGCGATCTCGGCTCACTGCAACCTCCTCCTCCCGGGCTCAAGCAATTCTGCTGCCTCAGCCTCCCGAGTAGCTAGGACTACAGTCGCGCACCACCACGTCCAGCTAATTTTTTTTTATATTTTAGTAGAGACGGGGTTTCACTGTGTTGGCCAGGATGGTCTCGATCTCTTAACCTGGTGATCCTCCCGCCTCGGCCTCCCGAAGTGCTGGGATTACAGGCGTGAGCCACCACACCCGGCGAAGCCTGCTCTTCTTGCCTCTTGTTTTTCCCACAACTTCTACAAATAATTCTCCACATAACAGCTATCCATCTTCTAAGAGCAGACATTAGATTGTGCCACTCCTCTGCTTATTTTTTTAAAAAATAACATAATAATCCCAGCACTTTGGGAGGCAGAGGCAGGTTGATCACCTGAGGTTAGAAGTTCCAGACCAAGCCGGGCGCGGTGGCTCAAGCCTGTAATCCCAGCACTTTGGGAGGCCGAGGCGGGTGGATCACGAGGTCAAGAGATCGAGACCATTCTGGTCAACACGGTGAAACCCCGTCTCTACTAAAGCTACAAAAAATTAGCTGGGCATGGTGGCGCGTGCCTGTAATCCCAGCTACTCAGGAGGCTGAGGCAGGAGAATTGCCTGAATGCAGGAGGCGGAGGTTGCGGTGAGCCGAGATCGCGCCATTGCACTCCAGCCTGGGTAACAAGAGCGAAACCCCGCTCCGTAAAAAAAAAAAAAAAAAAAGAAGTTCCAGACCAGCCTGGCCAACATGATGATACCCTATCTCTACGAAAAATATAAAAATTAGCTAGGCTTGGTGATGGGTGCTGTAATCCCGGCTACTCGGGAAACTGAGGCAGGAGAATCACTTAAACCCGGGAGGTGGTGGTTATAGTTAGCTGAGATCGTGCCACTGCACTCCAGCCTGGGTCACAGACCGAGACCCCGTCAAAAAAAACAAAAAGTGGTGCTTGAGCACACTTAGACTAGAATCCATACTGTTTTTTTTTTTTGTTTTTTTTTTTTTTTTTTTAAAACGGGGGTTTCCCCATTTGGGTCAGACTGGTCTTGAACTCCCGGCCTCAGGTGATCCACCCGCCTTGGCCTCCAAAGTGCTTGGATTACAGGCGTGAGCCACCTCGCCCAGCAAATCCATACTGTTTTAATGGGCAGAGCAAGGCACTGCTTGATCTGGTCTCTGCTTAATTCTTCAGCTTCATCTCCTAGTCCTCTCCTTTCTCTCCCACCGCCCCTTTTATAATTGAGTTATTCTGTTCTCTCTATTCTTCTGGCTTGCCAGTACAGTATTATTCTGGCCACAAGACTTTTGTACTTACTCTTCCTTCGCATAACACCTCCCTCCCCCAGGTCCTCACGTAGGTGGTTTCTTAAATTTAGCTCAAATGTTATTTTCTTAGACCTTTCCTGATCACTTATTCTAAAGTGGGAACTAGTAATCGAGTTATCAAGTTTAATGTCTTGCAGTGATCTAGGTGAGATTTGTGAGGTCTCAACTGAAGAAGTAGCAATGGATGGAGAAAAAGGGACAGGTGCAAGAAAGAATTTTAAAAAAACAGTAGGTTGGGCGCAGTGGCTCACACCCATAATCCCAGCACTTTGGGAGGCCAAGGTGGGCGGATCACCTGAAGTCGGGAGTTGGAGACCAGCCTGGCCAACATGGTGAACCCCCGTCTCTACATATATAAATATATATATATGTGTGTGTATATATATATATATGTACATATATAAAAAATAGCCAGGCGTGGTGGCGGGCGCCTGTAGCAGCTACTCAGGAGGCTGAGGTGGAGAATCG